TTGCTACATAGATAGATACAAAAACATTTGTTTCCAAAGTTAAAACTATAGTTTGAAGTTTTTTATGGAATAATATTTAAAGGCCCATCTATCTCAAAGTATGATAGTCAAATTAGTATAAATCTAAAAAAAAATTGAAGATTATACTATTTAATCCAAAGAATGCAATTATAATTTTTTTATCTAAAAAATAATATATACTTTTTAATTAGATCATTCAAAGATATAGTAATTTTTTAAGTATAAATTAATGCATGCAAAAATAATAGTTTTTTAAAAAATAATGGTTTAGTTTTAAATAGATATTCTACACAAAGTATAAATAAAAAATTATTGAAAAATTGTAGAAATAGGTGACTCATTTATGTTTTTGATATTTTGACCTTGTATAATTTAAGATGATAATTCTAAAAATAATAAAGAATTTCATATAAATAAAAAGGACTGTACTTTAGGTTTTTTGACTAGCACTATGGTTGCTTATGATATCAAAAAATATCAACAATGTTTCTTTCTACACCAAGTTATAGACTTCAATACTTTGGTATAAATTTGTAGCATATGTCTTTTTATTTAGCAATACTAGTATAGTTATTTGTTGATTTTGAGATTAAAGAGATATAGTCAAAGAAAAATTGACTCTAAACTAACTAAAATTGATAAATTTTAGTCACTTTCTTACTTAAAGTGGCATACAATTGAAGAGCTACAAGCTCAATGTATCTTTTTTGTTTTAGCCAAAGACTTAGAAAAAAAATGGTATAAATTTTTTTTCACATAAGTTTTTTTTATTTATGAGATACTCCATATTCTATTAATATTACCAATGCACATCTAGATTATGGTAATGAAGTCCTTTATTTGACTACAAATAAAGATGTTGAAAGCATAGAAATTTTTTCTTCTATAAATTAGCAATTAAAGATCATGTCAATATGCAATAGGCCTCTATTGGTAAAAAAAGAGACTACAGAGTTTGATGAATGGCCATTGGAATTAAGGCCGTATCTTAGTAGTGCCAAAGTACAAAAGATAGGAGCTTTTATTCGCTTATATTACAACTATTTTATCTTTAATCTTAAAGACTTTGAAGGCTGTAGGGGCAAACTTATTCACATCCAATTGAAAGATAATCATGCAATCTTTTGATGACCTTAAAAACTTAGTAACTTAAAAAAAACTAGCATCTAAATTTATTTTTAAGAATTATTGACTACAAACTTGATTGAGCTTTTTAATGCCAAATATGCTTGTATTATGATTATGTCTTTGAAGAAGAATATTTTTGATAATGATAAAGAATTAAATGTATAGAAACTACCATCAAATTAATTATAAGTCTAAATTTGATTAATATTCCATATCAATGCCATAAGAATTATTTTATGCATTAAGATTATTTTGAGTATTTAGTATTTTGGATTTAAGATTTAATATTGTTAATTATAATTACTTTTTCAAGTTCAAATAAAGATATTATTTTGAAGAATTGATCAAGATAGAAAAGATCAATTTTGTTATTAAAATTTTCTTTTATTTGGCCTCAAAAATGTACCAACTTAGTTTTAGAGGATGATAGACTAAGTTTTGGTCTACTTATCATTTATTAGATGTTACATTGATGATGTTATTATTTTTAATAGAAATCTGTATGATCATGTGAGATATTTACAAGCAATATTTGAATTATTATAACAATAGAGATTGTGCTTATTTTATAAAAAAATATAAATTCTTTTGTAAAAAATTATTATATTTTTGGGCTATATTATTATTCCAAGAAGTCTTAGCATGCAATCAAAAAAAATAGATACCTTCTAAAAAACCTTGGTATCAATCAATGTTTACAACTTTAGGCTCTAATAGCATCTAAATATCGAACTATTGGAATTGAAATATTTACAAATATGAATACAATAAGATTAAGAGTAGTATTGATATAGAATAATGTAAGACAAGAATATGTCATTGCATTTGCTTCTAGAAGCAACAAAAATGCAAAGTCAAACTATTCATCTTATGAAAGAGAAGTTTTAGTAAGAATTTTGATCATTGTTTATTTTCTACCTTATTTGTATAGGCAATGGTTTGTATTAGTCACTAACTATCATTTCTTGAAGTAACTTATAGAATTAGACAAACTTATTAACAAGATTGCTAGATGGGCTTTATTATTTCAAAAGTGTAACTTTGAGGTTGTGTCTTAATCAAGCATTATCAATTTGGATGTAAATAAACTTTCTTATAATCCAAGTCTTTTAAAAAAAGACTTGACAAGAGCTTGATGGTATTCGAATTACAATAGAATGATAGTTTTTGAATGGCATGCAACTACATACTTGACTTTGATGTTAAGTTCTACAATTATAGTGCCCAACCAAAGCTCAAATGAAGAATCTTATCAAATCCAAGCAATTAGCAATGTATAGAAGGGCCTTATAATCTTACATAAGTTTCAATAAAGAACATTTCTTTTAGCTATTTCTATTATAGAAAAAAAAAATATGATTAGTCACCAAATAGTATGATTTTATTGAAAAAATAATTTGTTATTTTATATATGGTTTGATAGAATTGGGCATATAGTTTCAAGGCCAAATCAAAAAGCTTCTTTGATGTAGTAAGTACATGAACAGTTTAGATATTTATGGATGCATAGAATATATTTTATTTTATATAACTAATATTGGTAGATTAGCATGTATTAATAGATTACCTCATATATTTTTCAATGTGAAGTGTGCAATGATTTTGTGTTAAGTTTTAAGACTTTATCACCTCATTTGAAGCCTTTATCTATCATTGCTTTAGTCTACCATTGGTATTTAGAATTTTTTGGATTTCTTATTAACATCCCATGTAGAGCTAAATATGTATTAGTGATGGTAGAATATTTTAGAAAATAGATTGAATTTGTGGCTTTGCCATAAAACTCTTCAGAGTTGGCAACTATGACTTTTTTTGATAATATATAGGCATATTTTGGAGCACTTATTAAATTCTTAATAGACATAAGAAGAAGAAGTTATTTTCATCTTTTAAAGTCTTTTGTACTAAAGCTTTCATAGATCATTGCACTACCTTTAGAAGTCACAATAAGATAGATGGCTTTGTTGAACAAGTTGTTGAGACTACTTAGCATGCTTTACAAAAGTATAGATTACCTTATAGAAACTATTATGATTAGAACTTAATATTTTAATAGATTGGAATAAACTACTACTTTAGTAGATATGTATCTTTAGATTATATAAACGTGGAGTAATTACAACACTTGATATTAAATCAAGGAGCACAATTCTTTGTGCAAAGAATATGTTGTTCAACAATATTTTGTTGCTTAAAAATAGAATGGATAAGAGTACTAAGATCATTTAACAAAGTGTGCTCCTTGTCATCTTCTTATTGATGAATTATATATCTTGAACTAATAGATCTACTAGATGTCCTTCATTATTTGTATGTAGTGAAGAAAAAGAAGTTGCTATTATACTACTATGTAATCAATATCAACATGGATGGCATATGATATACTTGATACCACTTCTTTGAACTCTTCTTTCAAAAGTTTGAATTTGTCCTTGTTGTAGGAAGTCTTCCATCTACACTTCATTTATTGACAAGGGTTGAAAACTTCTTTTTCATGTTTTTTACAAGTTTTGGTGGTCTAGTTGCTATATTATTAACTTCTTTGAGTACAATTTTGTAGCAACATCATTATAGCATTCATCTTTGACTATGTCCTTATTGTCATCCTAACTAGAAAGAAAGAAGGAGAGAAGGAGGAGAAAGGGAGAAAAAGAGAGACTTAAAAGTATATTAAGTATGCATTTGTATTTGATGTACATTGCATGCTTCATGATTGATTTATGACACTCAATTTGTTGGATATAACTATCTTTATTTATACAATAAGTTTCTCAGAGTGAAACATTGAGTACCAAATGTTTTTAGATGTATGTTATTTTATTTAGTTTAGGGGATTTTCATCCACTTAGCTTTTTTTGTGAATTGACTTTATTGTGCTCTATTAGGATTTAAAAATTTAGATAGAGAAATCTTCTTGACTTGACATTCTTAAGAAGTTAAGTCTTACGAGTAATTTTGAGAGAAAGAAAGCCTTTGTTGTAAGATTTTGCTTAGTTATAGTAATTAGCCTTTTAGTAAAGCTTTTAGGATTTTCTTTGCACACACTTGTGCTCTTGGATTCTTCTTTTATGGTATAAAAGAAAGCTTGACTTAGCGGTATTTGGATTTTCCATCTTTTCTTAAGACTATATTGATTGTACATTTGTATTTGGTTTAGATTGCATACTTCATAATTAATTTATAGCACTCAATTTTTTGTGTATAATGATCTTTATTTACAAGATAATATATTAATAAATCTTTTTACTTCTTATAAAGTTATTTTAAATGCCATTATGATATTTTGTATTTTTATAGTATGTATAATTAACTTAAATAAAATTTGATGGTTATTACTAATATTATCAATTTTAAAAAAGATATTATAATAAAATTTAATATTTACTTTAAAACCTATAAATAAATATCTATTATAAAAATAGAAATAATTATTAAAATAAAGTATATATACTTATGTTTAAAATATAAATACTTAATTATATTCAATATAAGTTTTTTTTACATTTATCCACTAAATAGGGTTTTTATTAATCAATAATATTAAGAGAATTTCATAGAATAAATGTAAATGTTCTTATTTTATTCAAAGAGAATTTTTAAGATATATATTGTTTTGTCAATAAATTCCAAAACTGAAATACCGTTTTCTGACTCTTGTTTGTAAAGTATATGAATAGGAATTCTTTTGGGCCACACACTCAATAAGACTAAAATTAATTTTAATATTTCTACTTAGAAGTTTGAAAATTTCACTATAAAATCTGTTTATATATATTCAACATACAAAAAAATTACAAAAAATTTGGAATTTAAAAATACGTTTAAAAAATTTACATATATACTAATTCATATATTCAAAATAAAAAACTCAAAATTAATATTCATGATAGTGTTCAACATGACAATTTGAAACATGTAAAATAGGTACATTATAACCTTGGATTTGCACGACATGTGCACAATTCCTGTGGCATCATCACGAGTGGCACCAATAGTACAGGCAAGTATGTACGGCTACAGTTCCTCCAAGTATAGACCTCTTCCATATCAAAAGCTACCCTGCTATCAAGCTGCAAATATAGAGCAGCCTCACAAAACCGGCTCACTGAAGACTCACAAGAAGCAATCAAACATGAAAGAATGATCCTTCACCTATATTACGTGATGTAAATAACACTTTGAAGTTGCTGGTATCAAAATTTTGCTCAGTGAAACCATTTTGCAAGCCTGAGCCATACCTACACATGACTCACTACTGTCGGACATTAGCTAAGTATACATGAAATTGTGGCTTTAGCAAAGAGAATTGTCATGCCGTCCTCTCTTGCTGGCTCCCGAGGCTGTTGATGGAGAACCCACAAGAATTGATAAATCGGCAGTTTCTGCAACTGAACCATGGATTGAGACGGAGGATAGCTGACTTACAAAGTTCAGTGTGAAGGAAGAAATATTTTTTTCAGGCCTGATAGTATAGTTGCTGCTGTTTGCTCCGAAACTCTTGAGCCGATCCTTTTTGGTTGGTAGTTCCTTGGTTTGAATCTGTTGCACTTCGTTTGGATTGCTTATTTTTCTCAGACTTGTTATGTTTATTTTCTTCCTCGTGCCAGGTCAAACCTTGGATCTGCTTATCATCACCATCGTCATCATCGTCGTCATCATCATCGTTTGCTGCTATGTTTGGAGGAATAACTCCATCTACAAAGAACGAGTACAGCACAGAGATGGCCTTGGACCGTATCTCGGCCCACACTTCCTCGCTGTAGTCAGCACTGCGAGGAAGAATCAAGACGTTTGGCATCTCCCTCACCTGTATATGATGAAGAAATATAACATTTAGTTAACGACGCATTGATTTCATTAGAAATGAAACACCATGCAGTGGGAAGTGGGAAGCGATTTGCAAAGTTGAAGATAGCGACGTACCCAAGCTTCGAGCCACTGTGGGCCTTCGATGCCGTCGAGGGCACAGCTAGCAACAGTGCCATTGATGAGCGCTTCCTTCATCGCACAGTCATCCAGCAGGTGACTGCTGCTTGTGTTCACCACTACCGCACCTATCCAGCACTCCATCAAATGAAATCCCAAATCAGGACCTTGAGGGCACCACTTGAATAGAAAATTCAAATCATCAGCTAAGTACCAATCTTTAAAAAAAGGCTTCTTCGTTGAACATTCCACTTTGAATGGCAACTAAGGAACTCTACATATTGGGTTGGAAAAGGCTTCATAGGCACAAAGCTTAAGAACCTCGTTTGATATGCTGTAGACTGTCAGCATTGAGCAGCTGTACAGTGTCATTGGTAAGTGCACAATGAAGTGAGACAATGTCACTAGAGGAGAGCAGCTCCTTCAAACTGTTTACTTTGTAGGTCCCTGCAGGGAATGCCCTCTTGCGCTGGATCTCTTTCCCCTGCAATCATCGCTCAGTTCTTCATAATCGCTATCTATATATATATATATATATATATATATATATATATATATATATAATTGATTACACAAATTGCAGACGGTGCGATATACATCATCTGCCTAATATCTACATCTTCCAAAACCCCAATCGTCTCAGTTCCCTCTTGCCACAACTAAGTTCGAGCAAAATGTTGGTATGCAAGAGTATTTTGCGCCACAAATCCGGGGTTTGTTACATATTACAGATTTCTCCCATAGAACTTTCAAGTTGTACGAGCATAAAGCGATCAAAGTCATGAAGACAGGACGTTTCGATCTACACCCACGGACCTAGTGCAGATCCACTCAGTCTTGCAATTTTATGTCGAGAAATAAAGTATAACTTATAAACTAAAAGGTGGGATAAGGATTGTCCACTACCTCATCAGGATCAAAATACAGGACCTTCATTCTAAATGCAAGACTTCGGCTTGCAACTGCACGTCCAGAACCGGTGGCACCCACAATGCCGATGACCATTCCCTTGGAGCGACGCATTCCTCTACACGAGGAGTGCATGGTACCCAGCCATCCTACAGACGCATACCCGTGAGAGGCCAATACGTGTGTGTGCCTCAGGAGTCCCAGCAGCAAGGCCATCACTGTATCGGCAATCTCCTCTGCTCTACCACTGTCCACATGCAGTAATTGCAACCCTAGTTCATTTGCCAAGGCAGAATCCACCATCTTGTCTACGCAGCTCAAAGTCAGAATCAATTGCCATGGCTGCAATCGCCTCTGCGCTGCTCGAGGAAGATAGGCTAAGGAATGAAGCAGAACAGCTGCTGCTGCCTCGATCTTACCCTCTGCTATCTGCGCCAGGTTCACATGCTCGATCTTTACCACTCCTTTGAGTGCCTCCGATTCCATAGAGCAATCTGGTAGACAGTTGAGAGCAACCACGAGCGGCAACCTGGGTGATTCATGCCCAACTGAAGAATTTGCTTCACAGTTCACCACTTGTGCAGTGACCGGCTTCACCCTGTCCCTCTTTCTCTCTGCCGCAGCGCGTTGTACCTTCCCCATTTCTTGGATATTAGTCAGATTGTTTTGCAGCCTCCCCCCAATCCGAGGGTTCAGTGTTCACTGCAATTGCATTTACTTTTCCAAATGTCGATCATGATATCAGGCCCTCCGCCGCTTGGAAGAACTCAATAAGACAATGATTCTTCAGAGGGATTACCTACAGCCTACCAATGAACAAAATTGCCAAAACTGCCTAAACAACTGAGCATGCGAAATTTAAGAGCGCACCCCAAATAAATATATAAAGAAAAAACACAAAATACTGCGTAATGAGCATTACTACAAGTCTTATCGATGCTCACACTACTCACTCAATTTCTTGCTACTGAAACCAAACAAACAACACACAATGTCCCGGATGCCCTGAAACTAAATACTGAATTCCTCCACTCAACTAAGCAAACCAGAGGACAACAGACCCTAAAACTATCCACACCGTTGCGGCTTATTCAACGAACACTGGCTCAACCCTTCGCATTTGATTGCATCACTAGTGAGCAAGAGAAAACTCACACCCAACCCAATGCCCTAAGCAATGCTGGAACCAAAATGCCACTAAAACTGATTCATACCCGACAGGAGACAATCATCCACAGTATCTTAGAACGCAGGGATTGCACCGCACAGCAGCAATGAAGTCCATCTCCTACCATGCCATCGCCACAAAACTACGAGCACTAATTCAACTCCTACAAAAAAGCTGGTTTGGCCATGGTGGATGGCATGGTGCACCAAACGGGGTGGGAGCGGTAACCCAAGCAAGACGACAGGACGCAGCTTCCGGCTCCCTGCGGCACGGACTCCCAGTGCAACTCTTTGGTTGGCTGCAAAATCGATGCGTAGGTCGAAGATAGGAACAGGATGCTGTCAGGCGAGAGGGCAGTTCAAAGGCAAAAAAGACGGTTATCCCATAAGGCCCACCCCCAGTGTCACTCGCAAACGGAAACTCTCGTGACTCAGGTGCTGCTGCAGCACCGAAGCACAGACTTTCAAGGTGTTCCCCTGGCGTCAATCACACCGCTCGGAACATCACTAATATATTTCCCTCAGCTTTTTGGTTCATTTGGTGAGTTAGGCAGCCGTGCGGCGCATTCATGTCGGAGAGGGTGCTGCCGACATTCTGTGCCTGGCGGCTGTAACAGGATCCAACCCCATGCATTTGATAGTTCCTTGGCTGACTGGTCTCTCATTTCTTATCATTCCTGCAAAGTGGAGTCTGGCATTTCTCCTGCAGGTGGGTAACTATATTTTGTCACCACTTCTGTGTCTTGTCAATGGTTTTTGATGGTTTGGCTGGAGGCGGCATTGGAAGGGTACATTTCTCACAGCGTTTCTGAACAAATCCTCTCTCGAGGTGGATGCAATTGGGAGAAGCCTTGCAATAAACACAACCTTCATGTCCCGAAACATCTAATACATGGGTTGGATCTATTCTCTACGTCTCAGCATCCCTCGGCCTACCCAGATTTTGCCAATTCCGAAAATGGTATTGTTACTATTATTACTACCACTACTACAGCTCACTTCATTAAAGAATTACTGACGTAAAATTCAAATCTTGAAGATAAAGTTCAGGTCCAAAGACCCTAGAATAATATTATTTTACAAAAGCCAAAGTAGCAACGAAGAATACGAAGTAAAATATGAAGCTGCCGACCAAAACCATTGTCATTTGGACGCTAATCGGACAACGAATGCCCAACCTTGCAATTGGCAAGATCAGCTCCTTCCCAAACTCACAACCCATGTTGAATATTGTTATTTGTTTGGCAACATGTCGGAAACTGAAACAGCACAACAACAACAACAATGCTTGCCGGTGTTTGCTGCAAGCTAGAGTGTGAAGTGTTCTTGGTGGAGCATGAGATGGTGATGAATGGCAGCGGCAGAGATGATGAGGGAGCGCCATCAATTGAAGAGTTAGTTGATGAAATTTATTTCTCATCCTACTCTTTCTATCCTTGGTCGATAATTCACTGAATTCACACTATTGGTTCGCTGGATTACGTACCTATATATAGACTTCATACTACATATAAGTATGCTGAATTCTTTGTGTACAGCATCTTAATCGATAAACATTATCTTCTTCAAACATGATGCAATCATTAGATTGCAACATGGTATCAGAGCAGACTTATTTTCTTCTTGTTCTTCACTAATGAGGATTTTCTCCTTGCTCTTCACTACTTTATATTTTCTCTCTCTTGATTAATAATCTACTTACTCATGTCCACCAACTTTCTTCTTTTCATTTCTTATGATGGATTCTTCTATGTCGAGAAAAGACATTTTAGAGCACTCAAAACAATTAGATGTTACCAACTATACCATTTAGTCGTACAAACTCAAGACTCTTCTTCAAAGCAAGGAATTGTGGAGTATTGTTGATCCCTCAAACACTTTAGTTGCTAGGCCTTCTTCAATCACTTCCCTTCACTTAGAGAAGTCAACACTCAACACAATTACACAAGATTCTCCTTCTTCATTAGCTTCAAGCTCTACTCTTTCAGAACACCAACACAAGGCAATAAAGATTATCATCTCAACAATAGAAGATTCTATTCTCCTTCATATCATACATACATTAGATCCTAATAAAATTTGGACTAAGTTGAAAGACTTATATCAATCTAACTCTATAAAGCACAGACTTTTTTCTCAAATCTCAACTACATAACATTAGAATACTAGACAAAGATGATATTAAACAATAACTTATGACTATCAATAACTTCACCAAACAACTTGCATGTCTAGATTTGGCCTTTGAAATAATTGAAATTATTCAAAAAGATGCTTTAATTCAATACACAGATGTTCTTTTAACTCCAATAAAAGCTATCAATAATCACACTTTACATCATAACATCTTCAATAATATAATAGAAGTTCACAAGAAAAATTTGAAAAAGGTACATATAATGAATGCAAAAGCCTATTCTATTAGGCAAATAACTATGAATTCAAGCAACTTTGCATGAAGATTTATAAGTTAGAAGATGAAAATGGATCAAATTCTTCTCAATAGAGTACAAGTCATTCTAATACAATCAAGATACCTCTTTTTTACACATCCTCCAAAGAAGCCATGCTTCTTAAAGTACTTGAAGTTTCTGCAACAAAAGCCTTGCGAATAGATTCTAATACTAGTACTCAATTAACAAACAATTTAGTTCTAGCATTCACATAATAGACAATCTAGATTTATTGACCAATGTCCAATCTACTCATCTCTCTAATGTAACTACTATTAGTGAAAAATCTCTAATTATTATTATTTAAGGAACTATATACTTTAAAAATAATAAATATTTGAAATATATATTTTTATATATATGACATAATTAAGAATTTATTATCAATTAGCAAATCAAAAAACTTAGGCTATTGCACAATCTTTGATTCAAAAGATTGCTAGGTATTTAGCAAATCATATCCATATAAATTAATACTTATAGGCACAAGACATTTAAAAAATATATTATATATATTGAGCAACACCAAATCAATAAAAATCTCTCAAGATATTTAAGAAACATATTATATATGCTAAGCAACACCAAATCAATAAAAATCTCTCAAGACATTTCTATCAATTCCATCAATCACTCCAAACTAGAATTTGCTAGATTGTGGCACAAAAGAATTGTTTATTTCAATTTTTAATTACTCTACAACTTATCACATAAAGAAATAGTCACTAAATTTTATACCTTATTTCTTATGAAATTATCTTGAAAAACTTGTGTTTTTAGAAAATATCATTGTCATTTAATCCTTCAATCTAATTTGACTACTACAAACAAATCAATTTAGTCAATACAGTCAAATTTATATTGTCCATTACCTATAAAATTTCTCTTTGGATTTTGATATTTTAATCTTTATTAATGACTTCTTAAGGCGATCTTGAATTTACTTCTTTGCTCATAAAGATGAAATATTTGAAACTTTTAAAAGATTCAAAACTATCATTGAAAAACAAACAAAAAAATAAAATAAAATAAAAAAATAACTACAAACTATTATATCTAAAAAGTGACTGTAGAAAAGAATGTATGTTAAGAAAATTTACCTCTTTTTATTTTCAATTTGGCACATAATACCAATTAATTACAACTTTGACATCTTAGCAAAATGGAATCACTAAAAGAAAGAGTAGATACTTATGCAAAATAATGTGTACTCTTTTGTTTAATGCTAACTTACCATCCTATTTATAAAAAGTGGTAGCTCATACAACAAAGTACATCTCAAATTGAGTTTTCTATTAAGTCCTAATTAATCAATTTTACTACATTTTTTTTGAAGTTAAAAACCTAATCTCTTTTATATACGTGTATTTAAATGTATATCCTATTATTACCTACTAAGTGTAAAAAAATTACAATCCAAGACTCAAAATTTTATACTAATTGATAATAATAAAGCCTATAGATGCTTCAACTATAATACAAATAAGATTATTATCATAAGAGATGTTAAATTTGATAAAAATATTATGGAAGTTCTATCTATTATATATTTTATATTTTTGGATAATGATATCTTTTGTTCTTTTTTTGACCAAGAAACAAGCATTCCATCCTACAACAAACACAATAATACTTCAGATTTAGATAGTTCTCTCAATATTATTACTAATATTCCATCCTCATCAATTATTTTTTAACACTCTTTGACCACAACCTTGATTCAATTTATACATTCATTAATCAAAGAGATATTAATTTTCTTCCCTTGATACTAAATATACATCTAAAGATAAACTATCAAATTGAAAGATAATATTCTTTTTATTACACAAAAAGATATAGATATATATCTTGTTCAATACTCAATAGATGACAATAACAACAAAATAACTCACATAGAAGCACTTGCCAATAAAGATTGGCTTTATACTATCCAAGATGAATTCTTTTTAATTATTCAAAATAATATTTGGATTCTTGTATTACTACCTTTAAAAAAAACACACAATAAGTTTAAAATGGATTTTCAAAACAAAACATGGTATCAATAATCAACCACTAAGCAAGAAAGTATATCTTGTGGTATAATGATTTGAATAAGAATATAGAGTCAACTTTGATAAAGTCTAAGCCCTTATTGTAAAATGGCCCATTATTTGATCTTTAATAGTCAAAGCTGCCCTAAAAAATCATTCCATCTATCATTTATATGTGAAGATAGACTTTCTAAATGGCAACCTCATAGATGAGGTCTACATGCCGAATCACCTTAGCTTCATCAAACTTGGTCATGATAATTTTTTATATAAACTCAAAAAGTCACTATATAGCTTACATTGTCATATTGTATTTCAGCTACCATGTGAAAATAATGCACATATATATATTTGATGTACAATTTTTATGTTGATAATAGTTTTTCTATTTAGTCCCATCTTTATTAGACATTGGTGACTCTTGAAATCTTCTTTTGTTTCTTTTATTTGGTATTTAAGGCACATAATATGTAAAACTTATTAAAAAAAAAAATCAAAAAAGGATTTTTGTATAAAAAGAGGTAATTAAGACATCTATATAGATGAATGGAGATAGATGATGAAAATTTCTATTCTTATTGGCCAAAATTCATCCGAATTGGCTTCAAAGAGGCTATTTGAGGCCTTATTAGTAATTAAGATTATTCTTTTGAGGATATTCAAACATCAAAGGTTAAGATCATTAAGTTTATGATTTTGAATATAATTTGGTGTGAAGGAAATATAGATGCTCAAAGTCAAGATATTGATTTTGTACCTACTATCATTCTTTAAGGCATAGCATATGCATATAAAGGACTTTTGAGGATTGGATTGTGCAGTTGAAAAGTTGATTTTAAAAACTATATTTTGTGGCATTTGAATTTTGGATTTTTCAAATATAAAAAAATAGCACTTGGATACTTGTAAATTGGGATTTAAAGCATCTACTAGTATTTTCAAGATATTAGAGAATCAAGAACAAATCTATGACTAATTATTTTTGATAGTAAATCTTGAGGATATAAGCTACGTATTCAGTAAATTTGGAGAAGATTGAATGGTTGAATTAAGTGATATCAAATCCTAAAGTTTAAAATAAAAAAAATAAAAAAAAAAAATCTTTGCAAATAAATAAAGTATGAGAGGTTTTTGGCTACAATTTTTGATCTTTTGTATAAACCA